TGGACAATGGCCTGTTCCCTAGTTTAGTGCCCAAAGTCCTCGGAATGCTGATTAGGGTTGGATCCTTCTACCTGTGGTTTGAGGGGAGGCCCTGGAGTTTGTGAACAACTTTATGTCGTCACCTTCTGAGCTTCTCCCTGTTCACAGTCTCTCTAGGACTTTCTCCTTCCCTGGGGCTTCCTTCTCATTTCTGCAGACAGAAAACCAGAGCTCTATGTATGCTTCCCTGATACCTGCTTTCCACTACTATGCCTGTGTGTGCACAGAGCCAAGAGCTGGGAGGACAGAAAGAGAAAAAAGAATCCACAGTGCTTATTCCTCTCTCAGGATCAGAGTTCCTGTGGTTGGCGAGGAAAGCTTCTTACCCTCAGCATTTTAGTTGTCTGCAACCTGCATGATCTGGGATGTGAGAGAATGAGGGTGTCCTCTGCCCTCTCTGAACATTTGGGGGTCCCCTTTTTACACCTTGAGTAAGGGCTGCAGGATTCATCAGGAGCCCACTCTGTCTGCACAATTGCCACCTTCTGGTTTTGTGCTGCCCTGCATGTAGGTCACGGGATAAAAGGTAAACTCACTTCTGGTTTGGTGGGACTTTGAATTTGGTTTTCCCTCCCAAATCCACCTGCTACTCTTTACTTCCAGAGTTTTTAGATCAATGCTCTGTGGCTTCATGGCTGCATTCAGTGGGTGAGATGGGGTGGGGTCTATGCCTGTGGAAGTGGAGCCTGCCTAGACGCTTTTATAAAAATGCCAGTTTATTTTTGTAACTATGCAAATGAACCCAAACATTGGCATTTCGTATGTGGGACAAATCCACAGCATCCTTGCTGTGATATATGTAACCATTCAGGCAAATGAACCTTACCATCTGGTTCCCACTGTGTAGCTGGGAACCTGATGGTGAGGACTCAGCCGTGGGGTTAGAGGAGCCACTGAGGCTCCTGCGTGCTTCTTCCCCTAGTGCAGACACTGGCAGGTGGTCACCTGAACACACACACACTTACACACACTTGACACACACATATGCATGCACACGTCCCCATACATACTTACACATACATAAATGCATTATATACATATACTTACAAACATATACACATATACATATATACACATGCACAATGCATTGACATGAATATATGCACACTTACATATACATACAAGACACATGTACATACACAGGTGCACACCCACCCTCACACTTGCACACACATACACACACATTTAAACACATGTATACTCACATACACATACACACATACATACAGAGATGCCCCCCAACATGTGCTCACACGTATACACACACACACACGTACACACACACATACATACACATGTCCGTACACGTGCATATATACACACTTACACACACGTGTACAATAACACAAGTATACACACGCATACACACATAAATACATGCACACCTCACCCCCACACATACACACATACATACACAACCCACACTCACACACATACACTCATGCACACATACATACACAAACCATAGCAGGGGCAAGGGGTCAGTGACTGATGAGTGGACCAGAGGCAAGGCAGCTGACACAGCTGGTGTCTGTGGCTGTTTTCCAAAGCCTGGCTTCAAGGGGCGAGAGAGAGAGGAGTGGAGAAAACCCTATGGAGAAAAGGCCAACTGTGGCCCCTTGAGGCCCCCTGTCAACTGCTGTGTGCTGATCTACATTGTTAGAGTCTCATCACCTCCTGCTGCTGGTAACCTGACTGTCCTAGCATGTTCACCACCTTCACTGAGGATGAGCAAGGGAAAGACAGGCAGCTGAATGCTTCGTCATTTCCTTCATGGGAAATAAACTTAGGACATAAAGATAGAACTGTTTGTATTTTGCACACAGGGGTGTGTGTGTGTGTGTGTGTGTGTGTGTGTTTTAAAGATTAAAAACAATCCTGTTCAGAGTTTCTGCTGACTTCTATTGGGATATCAGAGAGGTGTTTCCAAAGCAGAAAGTTTCTGGTAGATGAAGTTAAATAATTTAAGGTAGAAAAGTAGAGTTAAAATCAGCCAGTCTGGATTTCTGGTTCCAACAGTACTGTGGACTTCTGTAGTGTGGAAAATCCCAGTTTATTTTTGTATTGTAAACATCTAAATGTGCTTGGCAGAATGGAACAAAGTGAGGTTAAGTTAATATCTAAACTTGCAAGGGGAGGGGGAGGAAATTACCAGGTGGTAGAAATGAAGAGGGAATGGAAAACTAAAGAAATAAGTGATGAATTGGTGTACAGTTGTTGTAGTGGGCTTTGTGGTTCTAGAGACCTGGGCCTGATCTATACCAGCTTGCAGATAGGCAGTGCGTACTTATGCTTGAGAGGGGTTGGAAGTGGTACTGACACCTGTGTATAAAGCTGGGACCCTTGTAGAACCATACTGTTAGGGAAAAGATGAGCTAGTAAAACAATCTGCCCACAGCCCATGTGGATGACAAGGAAGCTCATGTGCCTGCCTTGGCTCAGGTGGGAAAAGTTTCCCGTAAGCAATGGAAACTTATTCCTCACATGGGATTGGAGTTTGAATAATACTCCTAGAGTGAGAAATTAACCTAAAAATAGGCCCCAAGCCAGTGATGTTTTGGGGACATTTGGCAGGAGTAAGTGTAAAACACTCCACTAATGAGGGATATCCCTACCAGCAGAGCCATACTTAATTACCATAGAACAAAGCCATGGTAACAATGAGCTCACAATAGAAGATGTTTCTAAGCCAAGAGAAAGAACCCAATATGAATGAGAATCAGAAGGTCAAAAAAAAAAAAAAAAAAGCAGGATTAGAACCACCAGGAACTTCAGATGATATAGCAACAATCTGAAAGAGAATATAAAATAAGCAGATGGAAAATGACTAAAGAGATATGTAGAAGATTTGAAAATAAAATAAAGTAAAATACCAGAAAAAAGAACAGGTGAATCTGAAGAACCAAATGGAATTTCTGGAAGTGGAAAACATAATATTTGTAATTAATAATTTAGTGGAGGGATAAACAGTAAATAAGATATAGCTGAAGAGAGAATTACTAAATTGGAACATAGACCTGAGGAAGTTACTCAGAATGAATTACAAAGAGAGAAAAGAGATATTTTGCCATAAAAAAGAATGAAATTATGCCATTCGCAGCAACAAGGACAAACTTAGAGAAAATTATGTCAAGTGAAATAAGCCTGGTGCAGAAAGAGAAATACTGCATGTCCTCAGTCATAAGTGGGAGCTGGAAAAAAAAAAAAGGAAGAAGAAAGATGCAACAATCACAATGATTCCTTGAACTTTCAGAAGGAGAGAAATGAACTGAAGCTACCAGAGGTGGGAATGGTGGAAGGGAAAGGGAGGTTAGGGAGAAATTGTTAAAGGGTCACAAAAAATGTTTACATTGTGTAATGATAAAAAAATTTATTAAAAAAAATAACAGATATTGATAGACATGGAGGATGGAAGCAGAAGTTCAAACATGTCTAAAGGGATTTCTAGGAGAAACTAGAGAGAATGAGAAAGATGCTATATCAAAGAGATCATGCAGAGGATTTTTATTTATTTTTATTTTTTTCCTTTTTGTCTTTTTTCGTGTCCAGCAACGGATCGCAACCCTCAGTGTCGCGCCCGTACTGGACCGGGACCAGCAACGGGATTGCAACCCTCAGTGTTGCACCCACACCTCGCTCAGCCAGTGAGCGGGAACTGGTCTGTATGTGGGATCTGAACCCTCGGCGGGAGCGCTGCCGCGCTCCCAAGCGGTGCACTGTAGCAGTGCACCACTGGGCCGGCCCCAGAGGATTTTTAGAAATAACAAATGACATGAATCCTAGCATTCAAGACTCACAAGGAATCATGGTAACTGTAAAAAAAAAAAAAAATTCCCAGCTAGACACATCAAAGTGAATTGCAGAAGGCCAAAACCCAAAAGGTCTTAAAAAATACCAGAGAGAAAGAGAGATTAATAGAAGAACAGTTAATCCTTCCTCTAAATTTGTCAGTAGCAATGAGAAGCACAGAAAATGATGGTGTAATCTCCAAAGTACCAGGGGAAAATGACTGTCAACCTACAATTCTATACTCAGCTAAATGATCATTCAAAAGTGAGGGTGAAATAAAGACGTTTTCAGGAAGGAGACTGAGAGAGTTTACCATTTACAAAACCTTGTTGAAAGAATTACCCATGGATATGTTTAGTAACGAATATATAAAATAGAACAACAGTACATTTGTGGATCACTTAATTGGGATATGTTCTGAGAAATGCATCTTTAGGTAGGTGATTTCATCATTGTGTGAAATCGTAGAGTGTGCTTACACAAACCTAGGTGGTGTAGCCTACGACATGCCTAGGCCATATAGTATAGCTTATTGCTCTACATGAGTAATGCATTGCACTGTGACATTCAGATGGCTACAGTGTCACTAGGCATTAGGAATTTTTCAGCTCCATTATGGGACCACCATGGTATCTGTGGTCTATCATTGACCTAAATGTTCTTATGTGGTGCATGACTATAATGTGAGGTGAAGAGATAGAGTAAGTGAATAAAAAGCGTCCAATCACAAGGCCAAGGAATTGATCACACCAGTGGTGACTGGCCTGCTAGGAGTTGTAGGCTGCACTAGGTGTCCTTCATGTGACTCAGGGATATTGTTGGTTCTGCTGACATCACCTAAGAAATATCACTGAAAATGCCTGTGCTTTGATGTGCAGGCCACAAATTGTACCTCTCTTTGTATAATTATGGGATCACAGTTGGTAAACAGATATCAGGGTCTGAATTGTAACACACCAACCTGAAAATTATTGAACCAGGAGGCTTCAGATTCTGAGAACTAATGTGTTCTCTGCTTTATGCATCTTTTAAGTGGGATGTTCTCTGTGTTGAGAAAGCCAGGGAAGGCAGTCTTACGGCTGGGGCATCAGGGTTTTGAGGTCAGGAAGGTGTGCTCTCATTTGTTCTAGCAATTGTCTATCTCTGATTCTGTGTGTCCCTCCTCATTCCAGAACCCAAGGTCATGTTTGCCAAGGATCAGCCAGCACACAGTGAGGTGAAGGCTGAGGCAGGGGCCAGTGCCACGCTGAGCTGTGAGGTGGCCCAGGCCCAGACAGAGGTGGCATGGTACAAGGATGGGAAGAAACTGAGCTCAAGCTCGAAGGTCCGCATGGAGGCTGCAGGCTGCACACGGCAGCTGGTGGTGCAGAAGACAGGGAAGGCGGACACTGGGGAGTACTGCTGCAAGGCCGGGGGCCAGAGGGTCTCCTTCTGCCTGGATGTCACAGGTGGGTGCCAGGGGTGGGCAGAATGGAGGGAGGGGCCCCTGAGCATCAGGTTGAAATTCTGAGACACATGTAAGCAGTCCAAGGTGCTGTTGGGCCCTGGCATCCTCCCTGTCTGTGGGCTTCAGAATCAGTGCCCCAAACTCTGCCCAGCAGCTTCCATATTTGCAGTGTTGTTTTGCAAGACCAGAGCAGGTCGACGGGCTGAGCTCACCTCAGTGTGTGTCCTGGTGTGGCTGAGCCAATCGTGGTTTGTTTCCTGGTGAGGGATGAGCAGAGGGTAATGGTGACAGATGGGTGATGACCATAGGTGTTCTTAGTTCTGATCTGATGACCCTCTGTGGTGTGTATGGGGGCTGTGGGAAGGGGACATCCAGTGACAGGAGATCATGCCCTCTGCCCACACAGTCCCTATTTGCCAGTCCCTAGAGCTCTGCAAGCCCATGCTTGGTCTCTTAGTGATCATTGTCTGTGCATCCGTCCTTCCCTCCTCACGTCCTTCTACCCTGTCCACCCTGTCACTGAGCATGGGACAGGAGGTCCCACACAGCTCATCCATTTCTCTTCTGATGGTCCCACCCAACACTCAGCTCCCTCCTGCTGGCCTTGCCTGGCACTCAGCTCTCTCATTGATCCAAACTGGCCCAGGAGGGGTCAAGCTTTGCACCCCTGTTGGTAAGAAAAGCATGCCTGAGCACCCAGACCACAGAGGATCCCGTGGCAGGACCCATGCTTGCCTGGGATCCAGAGCCTGTTAGTGAGGAACCAGGAGTTGGAAACCTCACCTGGGCAGAGCCTCTGACCATGTCCTCCCCCGTGTCTGTCCCCAGAGCCCAAGGTGGTGTTTGCCAAGCAGCAGCCTGCACACAGTGCGGTTAAGGCCGAGGTGGGGGCCAGTGCCACGCTGAGCTGTGAGGTGGCCCAGGCTCAGACGGAGGTGGCATGGTACAAAGATGGGAAGAAACTGAACTTGAGCTTGAAGGTGTGCATGGAGGCCACGGGCTGTAGGCGGCAGCTGATGGTGCAGCAGGCGGGGAAGGCAGACACTGGGGAGTACAGCTGTGAGGCTAGGGGCCAGAGGGTCTCCTTCCACCTGGACGTCACTGGTGGGCTTCTTGAGGTCTTTAGTATGTTCCTTAGGATAATTATTACGGTGTTTGTGGCGGTGCTGCCTAGTGGCCTGTTTTCTCACAAATCTCCCTGTAGGACAACAGCTAGCAGGTATCAATTACATGCTGAGGGACTGGATTTTGTGAAGTGCTTCTTGTCATTTTACTTGCTTAAACTTTACAATAACTCTGTGAAGAGAAATTCCAATTATTCCTATTTAAAGATAAGGCACAAAGAAGTTCAGTGTCTTACCAAAGTCTGCACACCTAGAAAACTGCAGTCAGGATTTATGCCCAATATTCTGGGACTTTTTTTTTCTCCTTGAAGATCTTTGTGTTTAGTATTTATTTTAGCATGTATGCCCGGGTACACATTCTCTTTTTTTTTTTAAGGTGACCAGTAAGGGGATCTTAGCCCTTGGCTTGGTGTTGTCAGCACCATGCTCTCCCAAGTGAGCGAACCGGCCATCCCTATATGGGATCCGAACCCGTGGACTTGGTGTTATCAGCACCGCACTCTCCTGAGTGAGCCACGGGCTGGCCCTTTTTTTTTTTTTGCTTGTATGGAAACATATTTATTTCACCTTCAACTCTTATAACTATTTTCTCTGGGTATTAAATTATAGTTTAGCAACCCCTTCCCTCCACTGCACCTCCTCCAACATTTTAAAGACATCATTCTGTTGTCTTCTGGTTTCCATATTTTCTTTTGAAATATCAGCTGTCAGATTCATTATGGTTCCTGAAAGGGTCATATATCTTTTTTTCCTTCTGTTGCTTTTAAGATTTTCTTTTTGACTTTGATTTTCATTAATTTTACTTTGGTGAACCTTGGTGTGCTTTTCTTTGTATTCATCCTGGTTAGGATTGTAGAACATTTTGGGTTTTTGTCTTTCATCAGAATTCTTGGCCTTTCTCTGTTTTGTCCCATCTCCTTTCTCTTACAGGACTCCTGTTACACTCTATTGACCTTTTTACATTTTCTGACACATATCATATGACTCTCTCTCTCTGCTTAATCATTTTTTTCTCTTTGCTTTAGTCTGGATATTTCCTTTCACTCTATTCCAATTCACTAATCCTCTGTTCTGCTATATCTAATCTTCTGTTAATCCCATTTGAAGTGTGTTTACTTTCATTTTTTGAGTTTTCAAGTTTTATAATTTCTATTAGATTATTTTTTTGTAGATTCTATAAATTCTGTGTAGTGAAAATTTTCATCTTTGATTAATTTTCTTCCTTTTATATTTTTTAAAATTTTAATCATGGCTGTACCTTGGTTTGATAACTGTAATAATTGCCTTTTTTTTTTTTTTTTGGTTTTCTAATATTTAGGCCTGACCTTGGCATACCAGAGAATTTTCAACTGACTATCAGAAAAAAAATTGTTGAGTGTGGATAATGGTATTTCATTCCAGAGAAAGGAACACTCTTTCCTTTGGTAGAAGGGAAGGGGATCGCTAAGAACTTGGACTCATTCTGGGACGGTTCTGACTTGAGGCTGCATTGCAGTTTAATGTAGGTTGTCCAACTCTGGTTTTCCACCAATCCTGGGCATAGTCCTCCAAGGGTTCCTGCAGAGACTTGAGGTGTGGGCAGGGGGCCCTCCCCCAGCCAACCGTCAACTCTCATATTTGTCTCTTCAGTAATGCAAGATGCTGAAATGTTTGAACTAGTTTTCAGAGTTTTTCTGCTTGGCTTCTTAGCCTCCTGCCCTGTGCAGCTTCAGAATTCATCAGACATCTGGAGGGGAGAGTGGCTGAGTATGGGGCTCAATTCTACACTGTCCCATTTCACTGGAGACTTGGCCCCTTGGTCTCAAATTTCATCTACCAACACAAGATGTCAACCACATCACTGGTTTCCCTGTTTCTTAGTAGCAGCACTGTGCCTTGCTCTTTGCCTGGTTTTCCCTGTCATGCCATATCCAGTGGCAGTAGTGCTCTAAGGGGAAGGCAGGTGCTGAGGTGGCCCCACATCTCTGTGCTGCTCCCCTTCTCAGGGTTTGGCCTCCTGGCATTCAGACTGCCCTGGCTTTTCTCCAGCACCCTCTTAGCTTCAGCTGACATTGCTTACCTGTTGATTACCTTCTGTGCTCACTTCACACCTGTTCCTGAAGGAGGACTCCTGTCTCCATTAGAGTGTTTCCCCTCAGCTTTTATCAGGGCTGGGTGTCCCTGAAACATCACTCCTTAGCCGGGTCTGCCCTGACCAGTGAATCTCAGTTGCCTACCAGCATGTCACCCTGTCTTACTTTATAGAACACTCACTGTAGCATTACATACTCATCTTCATGGTTTATATATTTGTTGTCTTCCCCTGTTAAAATGTCAGGTTGTGAGCACAGGTGCTCTGTCTGTGTTACTCACCACAGCATCCCAGATACCACCATAGTGCCCCACAGAGTAGGCCCTCCATGGACATTAGTGGTGAGAATGAATGAATGAATGAATGAATGACTGCACCAGCAGCATGGAATCTCTGAGATCCTATATACATTCATTTGAGTGTTTTAAACATCATGATGTGTTTATTTGAATATATTATGCAGACAGCAAGAAATATAATGGTGACTGTGTAAATTGTATTAGTAATTAATTAATATATTTATTTTAATTCTAATGTAATTAAATTGCCTTTCCAATCTAAAAAATAAGGACAATTTTTTAAATTTTAAAAGTAAGGCATCTTACCGATGCAGAAATGTGTAGAGATGCAGAAACTAGCACTATCACCAAGTATTTGAGTTGAATGGAACATATACAATCTAAGAACACTGATGATATTGGGTGTTGGGAAGGACATGGAGAATTGGGACTCACACACTGCTGGTGGGAGTGGAAGTTGATACAACCATTTTGCAAAATTGTTTTGAATTATCTACTAAAGCCAAACACAGGCCTACCTATGTTCCAGCAGTTCCATGTACCATGTACATAAGAATGTTTACAGCAGATGTACTTATTGTATCTCCAAAGTGGAAATAACCCGAATGACCCACAAGAGGAAAAGAAAAAATAAGTTGTGGTGTTCGTACAACAAAATCCTATACAGCAGGACAAAAACCCAAATTGCTGCTACACGCAACAATGTGGCTAGATCTTACAGACATGCTGAGTGGAAGAGAACAGACCCCAAAGAGTATATAATGATGCCTAATTCCATCCTTGTGAAGTCAAAGACCAGGCAAGATAATTTACGCTGGGAACAGTCAGAACAGCGTCTACTTTGGGGAGTAGTCTGTAGTGGCTGGGGAGCTGGGACTGTTCTATTTGTTGATAGGTGTTGGTTACATGGGGATAGATTCACCTAAAGTTTATTGAGCTGTACAAATAAATTAGTGCACTTTATATAAGTTATGCTGAGATAAAACTCAGGATACCATTTGTAGAGGACACACTATGTGCCATCTCTGGGGACGCACTAGTGAACAACACTGACCTGCCACGCAGAGCTGACTGTCATGTGGCCAAGGCAATAAACCTGAAGGTGCAGGAGTAGTCATCTTCCTCCAGCCTTCAAGTTGCTCTTAAGTCAGGACATGCCCAAAATGGACTCTTGACGCTCTACAGTGGGAGACGTTGTGCCTGTGGACACAAGTCTAACATCCCATTGGACACATGACGTCATTGGCCTCAAGGAGAAAATGTACTGAACCCTGAAGCATTGGTCCCTGTAAAATGGGTTGGTCCAGCTTTGTGTCTTTGACCATGTGTTCCTCCCTGTCCCCAGAGCCCAAAGCAGTGTTCTCCAAGGATCAGCCAGCACACCGTGAAGTTAAGGCCGAGGCAGGGGCCAACGCCACGCTGAGCTGTGAGGTGGCCCAGGCCCAGACGGAGGTGACATGGTATAAGGATGGGAAGAAGCTGGGCTCAAGCTTGAAGATGCACCTGGAGGCCACGGGCTGCACGCGGCGGCTGGTGTTGCAGCAGGCGGGGAAGGCAGATGCCGGGGAGTACAGCTGTGAGGCCAGGGGTCAGAGGGTCTCCTTCCTTCTGGATGTCACAGGTCAGTCCTTTGTGGATAGCAGCTTAGCCTTGTTTAGAAGTGATGAGCACAGCTGATAGCCCCAACGGACCATGGGGTCTTTCCACGAGCCTTCATCTCTTTAGTCCCCTATTTTCCCAATTCCCATTTTCATATCCATGGCTGGGTCAAGGGAGGCTGGATGGGAAGGGCGTGTCCAGAGGAAGAGGAGCCATTCCTGTAAACTTCAAGTTGTGTTTCCAGCTCGTAATGCTCAATCACAAGTTCCCAGCATCTTCTCAGAATCTTCCTGGTGTTCCTTGGATCTGGATATCTGGCTTTACCTGGTCCTTATGGTCTGAGGTAGACCAGTCATCTCTCATGTGGAGATATGCGAATTTCTCCCTTAGGCTGTTTTGGTGAGAGATGTTTGAATATCATTCCACTGGGATAAGGAGATATTTCAGTCACCCCATCATCTGTGGAATTATCACAAGACTGAACCATGGATTATCAAAGTTTTAGGTGTTCTGCACACTTTTCCCTCCTTTTACATGGATCTAGAAGTTATCTATGCACCCATATGTAGCAAAATCTAGAGCCATGTTTTGTTGCAGTGTCTGTCCAAAGTAAACAGACAGCAGAGATTGGTAGATACGCACCTGTGAGATTTGAAATGATTTTTTTTTTTTTTTTTTCCTTTTTGTCTTTTTTCATGTCCGGCAACAGACCGCAACCCTCAGTGTTGCACCTGTACCGGACCAGGACCGGCAACAGGATCGCAACCCTCAGTGCTGCGCCCGCCCCTCGCTCAGCCAGTGAGCGGGAACCGGTCTGTATGTGGGATCCGAACCCTCAGCGGGAGCGCCACCGTGCTCCCAAGCGGCGCACTGTAGCAGTGCGCCACCGGGCCGGCCCTGAAATGATCTTTTTTTTTTTTTTTTGTCTTTTGTCTTTTTCCGTGTCCGGCAATGGATTGCAACCCTCAGTGTTGCCCCCGTACCGGACCGGGGACCGGCAACGGGATCGCAACCCTTGGTGTTGCTCGCGCGCCTCGCTCAGCCAGTGAGCGGGAACCGGTCTGTATGTGGGATCCGAACCCTCGGGCGGGAGCGCTGCAGCGCTTCCCAAGCGGCGCACTATCCAGTGCGCCACTGGGCCGGCCCCCTGACATGATCTTTTGAAGGCAAATATTATTTTCCTTTTGTCTTCAGTTAGAACATTCTGTGTCAGAATTCTTCTTGGAGTTTGATTTATAAATTTAGAAATGGAAAGGAATAAATAGCTTAAGCTTCATTGGCATGATTTGATAAAACTGAGTTCCTGTAGTCGTAGCTCTGACTGGTAAAGCTGTATTTATGTAAGAGCAATTTTCAATAATTAATTTGTGCCTGTGCCTCTCCCTAGCTGGTTCATAAAGAAATCTGAAACTAAATTTATTTTCTTTTCCTTAACTGAGCTTTAACATCAGAGAGGGGTGGACTGTGGTCCCACATTGACCGCTAGATGCCACCACATAACAGTTTGGTATTGTGTCAGTGTGCAATGGTTTGTGGGTGTACATAGATAACAAAAAACCCACTATGTATCTTTTCAAAATATTTTAAGAGAATAGGACAAATTCTTTTATGGTAATAAATATGAAAAAGTTTGACAAACTGACCAAATTCTTAGAAAAGCATATAAAGTGTAACATATGAAGAAATAGAAAACTCAAATAGTTCTGTAACTTTTAAATAAAATAAATCGGACTAGTAACAAAAAATCTTTTCATTGAGCAATATCTAAGCCAAATAATTCTACTGCTAAATTATAACAAATATTCGGCAAATAAATTATTCCAGGTTCAGGGAGATTCTTTTAGAGAATAGGAAAAGGAGATATTCTCTTCGATTTGTTTAATTTATAAAGCATAACATTGATGCCAATATCTGATAAGAAAAGTAGGAGGAATTAAAATCACAAGCCAGTCTACTATGGATATCAAGGGCAAAATTTAAACAAAATATTATTCAAATATATTCAGCAATATATTAAGAGGATAATACACTATGAAGAAGGTCATAGTCTGATAGTGAAAGGCTTTTGAAACATTAGAAACATTAGCAAGTCAATATAGTGCATGACCTTAACAGATTGAAAGAAAATATAAAGTAATTACCTCAAAATGCAGAATAAAGCATTTGTTCCAATTCATGTATTTGTGTTGTAAAATTAGCACACCAGTTCATGACATAAAAGTTTGGAAAAGTGGGATTCACAGTTAATAATTGTTTATCCAAAAGATAAATTATTAGACTTATGAAGAGAGTTGAAAACGTTTACTGTATAAAAAATCAATATAGAGAAAACACTTCTATATCTATATACTAGCAACAAACAGTTGAAAATGAAATTTTAAAAGATTTACAATAGCATCAAAAGTCATGTTTCTAATTCCAAATCTAATAAAAGGTGCTTTTATTTGCTTTTTTTAATACAAAGAGAATATGGGGAGAGAGGATTATTAGCCATTTTGGTATATAAATTTTGAGAGATAGTCAAGAAGATCTAAATAAATGGATAGAAATCCATGAAAGAAACAAAGATGTCTAATCCCAATCAAAATACAAAATATTGTTCTTTTTTTGAAAATTTACGAGCAGATTACCCAGGCTGTGTACAACCAATACACTTGAAAAAGAACGAAGGTGGTGAGCATTTGCTGTGCCAGAGTCAGGACTATTATGTAGCTACCGTAATTAAGACAATGGTGTCTCATTGCAGGGATAGATGGACAGACCAAAGGAACAGAACAGGGAGCTCAGAAACACACTCTGGTGTGAATGGACTGCCCCACTCAACTCCCCTCCTTCTTTTTTTTTTTTTACTTTGGGACTTGTGCAAGGGGTGACATGGTGTTTTTATAAAGTTTTGGGGCCATTTAACCATATGGGGAAAAAAAAATTGGACGGGTGAGTCACACAAAGTCAATTCCAGTTGGATTAGAGACCTTAGAATAGAAGAAAAAACCATAAAACTCTTAGATTATCATAGATGTTTTTGAGGACACTGATGAATGATTTCTTTTCTTTCTTTTTTTTTTTAAAGATGACTTGTAAGGGGATCTTAACCCCTGACTTGGTGTTGTCAGCACCACATTCTCCCAAGTGAGTGAACCGGCCATCCCTATATAAAGATCCGAACCCGTGGCCTTGGTGTTGTCAGCACCGCACTCTCCCGAGTGAGCCACAGGCCGGCCCTATGAATGATTTCTTAAACAGAACACAAATGCAATAACCACTATCTTAGTCTGATTCTGTTGCTTATAATAAAATACCCAGAACTGGATGATTTATAAGAAAATTAAATTTATTGCTTACAGTTTTGGAGGCTGAGAAGTCCAAAGTCCAGGGAACACATCTAGTGAGAGGCTTGGTGGTGGCAGCAGTGACCCAGGGGTCTCACACAGCAGAAAATGGCAGAACAGAGAGACAGTTCCCCATGCACTCTACTTTGAAAGCCCTCAGACACATGCCCGTGATCACCGATATTAATCCATTTACTACTGCGTGGTCCTACAGTCCAAGCACTTCTTCAAGGCCCCACCTTTCAATTACCATAATAGGATTTCCCACCCTCTTAACAGTCACAATGGGGACCAAGCCTCCGACGCATCAAACTTTTGGGGGGACACCATTCAATCAATAATAACCACCATGAAACTAACTTGATATACTTGAGTACATTAAAATAAAAAACTTTCATTCATCAGAAGACACCATAAGAGTGTGAAGAGGTAAGCCACTTAGAAAAGGAATGTGAGTACAACATGACTGTCACATAATTGTCAATGCCCTAGGATTTGAGCATAGAAAGAGACCCTGAAATGAATATATAAAAGAAAGTCAACGCTATTGAAAATTGGGGAAAAGTCTTGAACAGTGACAACACAGATGAACAAACATTAATAAAAAAAATATCAGAAGGTGCCCACCTTGTGAGTCATCAGGATGATATACTAGAAGCCACAGGAGGTGCATGTGCTTCCACCAGAGGCCCCCTGACAGTACCAGGAGCAGGCAGGAGCGTGGAGCCTCAGGGTCACTCAGGCACTGTGGGGACAAAGTACCCTGCACTGTCACTTACGGAGACACCGCTTCAGTGAGATGGAGGTTCTCATGTATCACAATCCGTGTCCTTCCCCGAGGAGCCTGTGCCTGGAGACCTTTCACAGCATCCCCGCCTGGAACAACCCACGGAGCAGGGGTACAGTGGATGGACACATTGTGGTCACCGTGCTGAGAGGTGGTGGGGCTCCTGCAGGCCACACAACCAGTGCAGGGCCTGGAGAACTTTCCGCCCTCCTGTCTACCCATCCAGGACTCCTTCCCTGTGTGGCCTTCCTGACTTAGATGTGACTTTGAGTCTGTGTGTCCCTTTCTGTTCCCAGAGCCCAAGGCAATATTTGCCAAGGAGCAGCCTGCATGCAGTGAGGTGAAGGCAGAGGCAGGGGCCAGTGCCACGCTGAGCTGTGAGGTGGCCCAGGCCGAGACAGAGGTGACGTGGTACAAGGACGGGAAGAAGCTGAGCTCAAGCTCAAAGGTGTGCATGGAGGCCATGGGCTGTACACGGCAGCTGGTGGTGCAGCAGGCGGGGAAGGCGGACTCCGGAGAGTACAGCTGCGAGGCCAAGGGTCAGAGAGTCTCCTTCCGCCTGGACGTCACAGGTCAGTTCTTCATGGGTACCAGCTTAGCCTTGTGTAGAGGTGGTCTTGGTGCCATTGCCATTAGACTTCATCACTCCAAGTCTCCCATCCTAGCATCTCCCATTATTCTACATATGGTTGGCCAAGGGAGTGGGATGGTGGGGTACATATGGGAAGGGGAAGGGTCTTTCTCGTACAGCATGAGTTGTGCTTCCATCTTCCCAGTACCAGCCGGAACCCACTGATGTTCCTGGGTATGTAGCCCCATGGCTTTACCAGCTGCAGAGGGCTGAGGTAGACCAGATGTCTGTCACCTGGGGATGTCCTGGGAGATTGCCTATGCCCTTACCACCTCACATGAGGGCTCCCCATACCACGAGATTTTTGAGTTTCATTTTACTAGGATAAGGG